TTTGACACATTTGACCCCTGTGACCTTGAAAGTAGGTCAAGGTCATTTTCATTCTCAAACTTTGTTGGGCTCTATCCCAGGAAGCCATCAGCCAAATATGAAGATTCTATACCTTTTAGTTCTTTAGAAGAAGTCGTTTGAAGTTTTTGACATATTTGACCCCTGTGACCTTGAAAACAGGTCAAGGTCATTTTCGTTCTCAAACTTTGTAGGGCTCCTACCAACGAAACTTTCAGCCAAATATCATAACTCTAGGCCTGTCCGTTCTTCAGAAGAAGTTGTTTAAAGGAAAAGAGGACGGACGAGGACGGGAGGACGGACGGACAACGGACGCCCCACGGCATAAGCTCACTTGGCACTTCGTGCCAGGTGAGCTAAAAACAGTTGTTTGGTTGAGTTTATTTCAAGAATTCCTATAATTTGAAATTTAAAAAGAGTATGTTATCCACATCAATAGTTGTAGAAAATAAAGAAAAAAATATTTTCTGGATTTTTTTTCATGTTCATTTTGATTCTTAAATTACAACATCTGTTGAGTTAAGTTCCTTTTAAGAATTTGTAAAATTTAAGGTTTAAATAGATTATGTTTTCCAAATCAACGGTTGCAGAAAATTAAAAGAAAAATGAAAATGAGTTGTCTAGGTTATAATTTCTGTTTCTTGACTGGTAATTTCTGTCACTAGCAATGGGTAAATCTTTCCCTTTGTTTGGTTGGAACAGCTGAATCGGGGTCATTTGAATTGATAACTGATGAATAATATGATTGTAAGGCCTTTCCTTCTAATTATCAGTACCCTATAGCACTCCCATGTAGATTATGTTTTTCTCTATATCCACAGCCAGGAGAAATGTAAAGCTCTAAAATTGTGTTGCTCTTCAGATGATGTTACTTAACTCATTCACCCCTGAAATTTCATAATGAACTATTCCGATTTTTGAATTGGAAGAGTTCAAATGTGTCTTTAGGGGTGAATGAGTTAATAAAATAATGACTATTGTTGTGAAAATTAAAACCAAGCAAATTTGTCCAGGAGCAATTTTTGTTTAGAAGGCGGACTTCAGAAAATCAAAACCTTATACTGAATGTCTCAGGTTTATAAAATTTAAATTTACAGGCAACTAAACAAGACGAAAAAAACACAGGGTTTTGAAGGAGATAAATAAAGGGAGATAACTACCGTCACTGCAGGGTCAAGCATCGCTTTGCTCCAGTCCAGTGCCTCCTGTGTACAGGACCTCAATGTCTCTGTCCGTGCATGGTAGAAACGTCGGATTGTTGCTGTCTCATATGTAGGAGCTGGTCTGAAAATTGACAGAGATTTCATTTAAGGTTTGAAATGCATCTTTTTAACATTTATGAAGGTATGCAACACGGTTCCGTTCAAACATATTCCATGATGCGCATTAGTTGGTACTGTTATCTAGAGGCACTCGAACACAAATGTAAATATATTGATTTGATGTCCTCATGTGTGATATGTTGAAATCTATATTTAGTGACAGTAACCTAAATTTGTAACATGTCTCAGTGTTGAAGTCTATATTTGGTAAAAGTGACCTACTTTTGTGACAATATCTAAATTTAAAATCTATATTTGGTAACACTTACCAACTTTTGGAAATGACATTTCAGTTTAAATTCTCTATTTGGGGAAACTGGCTATTTTTGTGACAATATCTGTTGAATTCTATATTTGGTAAAAGTGACCTTCTTTAAGTGTTGATTTCTATATTTGGTAACACTGACTTATTTTTGTAACAAATTCTAAATGCTGATTCTATATTTGTTAGTGTTACCTACTTTTATGATAATGCCTTAGCCCTGAATTCTGTATTTGGTAACAGTACCTTGGTAACCTTCTATGACAATATCTAAATACTGAATTCTATATTTTGTAAGAGTGACCTACTTTTATGAAAATGTCTTACAGCTGAATTCCATATTTGGTAACAGTACCTTGGTAACCTTCTTCTATGCCAATATCTAAATGCTGAATTCTATATTTGGTAACAGTGACCTACTTTTGTAGCAATGTCTAAATGCTTGATGTCTACATTTGGTAATACTGACCTATACTCTTGTGACACATTTAAATATTGACGCATATAATCAGTGACAACGACCTGTTTTTGTGAACATTTAAATGCTGAAGCATACATTTTGTAAGAAGGACCCACTTTTTGTACATCTTATAGTAGGTGTACTGAAGTGCCATCTGCATGTGAGTGCTGGGATGAAGGTTCTTTGACCTCAGGAATGTTTTACCATATCGTGTGTATTCACGGGTGATACAGAACAGGTTGTCAGCCTGGAAAATAAATTACAAGATTATATTTGATAAAAAAACACAACAACATTTATACTAAACAAATACTATAAACTGCAAATTGTATCCAGATATGGGTAACAACCATTACAGGTACACATGAACCTAATAGGGTGTAAAATACTACTTGTCAGTTATTTGTACAATAGAGCATCATGTTTTTGAACAGGCGGGGAGAACATTCTTTATTTTGGTTAGGAAGTCATGTGATTTTAACATCAAAAAGTAGATATTAGTATCTGGATAATGTGTACAGTTGGGTACCACACATGGTCAAATAGTAGTTTATGTACGATTGGGAAGGCACACAAGTCTGGGAGGAGAAAAGGCGTTTTCCAAATATTATGACTTCCTTGAAGTTCTATATCTGACACTTACTGATGTCTTAAAGAGCTGTTTTCCCGCTCTATATCTGACACTTACTGATGTCTTAAAGACCTGTTTTGCCTGCTCTATATCTGACACTTACTGATGTATTAAAGAGCTGTTTTCCCGCTCTATATCTGACTCTTACTGATGTCTTAAAGACCTGTTTTTCCCACTCTATATCTGACACTTACTGATGTCCTAAAGACCTGTTTTGCCCGCTCTATATCTGACACTTACTGATTTCTTAAAGACCTGTTTTGCCCGCTCTATATCTGACACTTACTGATTTCTTAAAGACCTGTTTTGCCCGCTCTATATCTGACACTTACTGATGTATTAAAGAGCTGTTTTCCCGCTCTATATCTGACTCTTACTGATGTCTTAAAGACCTGTTTTTCCCACTCTATATCTGACACTTACTGATGTCTTAAAGACCTGTTTTGCCCGCTCTATAGCTGCCACAATATCTTGGTTTACGTTGAATTCTAGCTCCACAGGATGTGTCTGTTCTCGAATCTCCCTAGTTCCCTGAAAGTCAAACACAGGTTACTTATTTGTTACAATCACTGTGATATATTTACAGCTTTGACAAATATGGAACAGTCACACAAAATTAAAAGTTAATTCTGATGATAAATTAATTTAGAATTATTATTAGTATTTATACTTCATAGACAGATTTACTCTTAGCAGTCAAAATTTCATTTAAAATATTTTTTTGGTTCTTCACCTAGAGGTAATACATCCTTCCAATGGTATTAATAGCCACAGAAATTCTGAAGCAATATAATAATACTGAATCTGTTTTCTTAACAAAACACAAAGACAATTAGGATTTGCAATCAAACCTGTATACAAAGACCACTGTTATGAAGATTTTTTTAAAGTGGTCTCTTAAAATTGGTGGTCAGTTAATACAGGTTCAGGAAATATGTAAATAGTCCAATAGGGAGTTTTAAAAGTGACCTCTTAACACAACAGGTGGCCTGATATTGCTGGTTCACTTAAAAATGTAAATAACCACAATAGAGATTTTTAAAGTGTTCTTTTAAAGTAGGTTGTCTCTAAATAGAGGTTGATAGTATTCAGCATATATTGTCTCATGAAGTTATTGTTTTTAAGACACCATATTTAATTCAACAATGTGATAGATTAGTCAAAACTTTGTCTTGAACCCTGACCTTGAAGCTTTCTATGGCTGTGTCCTTATGAACTCATTTATCCTTACATATCTAAAGTAGACTTGCCCTGACTTTGATTTGGTAGGGTTCAAATATGACTTTAGGGGTAAATTGGTAAATTACCTTCCATTGCCCTTTACAACGCATGAGGTTAAGGTCGGTATACAGCAGCATGGTGACAAACATCATACCATCACAGGGGGCATGCTGTAATATATAAACATCATACCATCACAGGGGGCATGCTGTAATATAACAAACATCATTTCAGCACAGGGGGCATGCTGTAATATAACAAACATCATACCATCACAGGGGGCATGCTGTAAAATTGCAAAAATATCTCAAAGCGCTGTTATATTACAGATATAACTCACAGAGCTTGCTGTAACATGAAACGTAACTCAGGATGCAAAACAGAACAAAAGTAAATCTGAGATCATGCTGTAAAATTACAGAAATATCTCAAAGCGCTGTAATATTACAGATATAACTCACAGAGCTTGCTGTAACATGAAACGTAACTCAGGATGCAAAACAGAACAAAAGTAACTCTGAGATCATGCTGTAAAATTACAGATATATCTCAAAGCGCTGTCATATTACAAACATTAATCAAAGAGTGTGCTGTAACATTGATTATATACATGAATCATCTTCCGGAACACAACACACAGAATACTCAGGCATAGAACTTCAATTTGTAATCAAGGTATTTCAAGATAGGACAATTTTTTACATATCAACTTTTTTTTTTATTTTGAAGTAATTTTTTTTATTATTAAGATAGTTTACACCAGGCTCTCACCTGAAAAAAGTTCCGATTCTAGAAAACATATTGCACTTCACTTGTGTTCAACTATAGCTTTCATGTTAGCCATTTTATTACCAAATTTTATATGGAGAAATTAAGATCATAAAAAGTGGAACCGGGTTTATTTTTAAGAACAAGGAAAAATGAGGGCCAACGTCCACTAGTTACTGTTCAGTGAAGTTCAGCATACCCCAGCTAATGGATTCCTGAATAGAATTCATCAGTCAAGCCATTAGAAATATCAAATCGTATTCAAAATACTTTCCCCTTTATACTCTTGGTTTGATTATGAAAATACCACGAATTCTTTTACCATCTTTTCACAGACAGTGTAACTATACTATCTCATTGTTCTATTTTACTGTTGTATGCGTCACTATATATAGAATGTTGTTGTTTGTCGCTAGGCAGGGCACCCATTTTTGTACTTCAAGTATCTTTTGAAAATTGTACGTTATTCTGATGACGGCCCACCTAGTGGTAAATATGTAAACTGGATTTAGTTTGCCGAGACTCCCCATTTGATGTTTTCTGGTTATATCTCTTCTTTTATATTTTTAATTGATAAAAAATGTTCACGGTTGTGCTGTCACAAAAGAATTCTTTTCCACAAAAATTACCTCTACGCTGTTGTATACCAGAAATCCTCTACATTGTCATAAATGAGAATGTGTCAGAGTAGACAGATGAGAAAACAAAGGAGATTTAGAAACAAGGGAGATAACTCAACAGACAGACAACTTACATCACAGTTTGCTGCTCCGAGGCCATTTGCATAGAATACAAACGTGTTACTCTTGTCAAACCAGCGATTGACAGGGTTGCCTGCGAGTGTGACCTGGAACATCTGAAATATCAACACAGGATACTCAACAACGGATAATGGTTATCATCATGTCTAGATTACAGGTATTCTCAAACAAACATAGTGTTAGAGCTCCAGTCATGTCCAAACATAAGGCTGATGTCGTAAGGCAATTTAACATCATTCTGGGTAGTCTTCTAACTGTAATGTTGGATATTTACAGTCACTGAAGGAAAATCATGTGATGTCAGTCACTGTGGTAACATCTCATGCCCTTAGTCACTGTGGTCACATGACATCAGTCATTATAGATAAATCATGTGATGTCAGGTCACTGTGGTAACATCTCATGCCCTAATTAGTCACTGTGGTCACATGACATCAGTCATTATAGTAAAATCATGTGAAGTCAGTCACTGTGGTAACATCTCATGCCCTAATTAGTCACTGTGGTCACATGACATCAGTCATTATAGTAAAATCATGTGATGTCAGGTCACTGTGGTAACATCTCATGCCATTAGTCACTTTGGTCACATGACATCAGTCATTATAGTACAATCATGTGATGTCAGTCACTGTGGTAACATCTCATGCCATTAGTCACTGTGGTTACATGACATCAGTCATTATAGTAAAATCATGTGATGTCAGTCACTGTGGTAACATATCATGCCATTAGTCACTGTGGTCACATGACATCAGTCATTATAGTGAAATCATGTGATGTCAGTCACTGCAGTAATATCTCATGCCCTTAGTCACTGTTTTTTTTACATCTCATGTCCTTAGTCACAGTGGTCACATGAAATCAGTCATTATAATAAAATCGTGTGATGTCAGTCATTGTGGTAAAATCACATGACATCAGTCACTGTGTTAAAAGCACATGACATCAGTCACTGTGTTAAAATCACATGACATCAATCACTGTGTTAAAATCACTGACATCAGTCACTGTGCTAAAATCACATGACATCAGTCACTGTGTTAAAATCATTTCACATCAGTCAATGTGGTACCTTAATTGTCATCATTTTGACCTTGATGAACTTACTTCAGAGTTGTCCTTCGGTTGGCTGTCATCAAGGACAACATTGATGATACTTGATTGGATAAGTTCCAGATTGGCGTAGTTTTTGGGATCAAGAGCGATTAGCTGATTTCTCGTCTATAAAATGTACAACATTTCAACAAATAATCACTTTTATATCTTACAACATATATATTGTAGTCGGGTTCTGTTAATCAAGCTACCACTAATGTGACTGTCAAACTATTCAGCCAGTGTTTGAGTTAAAAGACTTTTCTTGTGACAGTAAAACTCGTCCAAGAAATCCAGCTGTTTCACGATTAAAAAGACTTTAGTTTAGAACACAGGTGACAAGATTATCTCACGGAAACAAAGTGACTAAAATATCTTCTGGGAATGAAGTTGGTTGAAGTCATATGAAGCTTACCCTACGAAATTTAATATTTATAAATGATCATCGATACTTTAAATTTTACAAATATTTCATTGTTTTTTGTAATGGAAGGTATTTTCAGTGTTTTACCTGTGCCCATTGTGTGCGCTCATCCCCTGTTACAGCTCCTATTCCTAATCCTTCTGGCTGAAAATCACAGATGTCTCTGATCCTTTGTAGTTGGGACTGAATTTCAGGTGGAGTCAGAATTTCACCATTCGCATCCTGCCCGTCAAACACATATATACGCCCCCTACACATCACTGAGATATGTCCGGGCGAGATCCCTTCTGACTCTGCAAAAAACAAAAATTCAGAATTAAATAACCTTGATAATCTTAATCTATAAATGTATTTAAAATTGTAACACCCAATTCACAGAATGGGAGTACAACAGACAGCAGAAAGATGTTGGAGCAACATAAACACATTAGTTATTCACGCCAGTCTGTAAAATGCGGATCACAAAGTTTTCATTGGGTGAAGAAAGATCACTGTCCACTGTGCCGGCTGCAAATGAACGTTACTCAACAGAGGGACGACATGACACCTACTATGGCATATACTCAAAAATAGCAACCTTTCTTTTCCTGTACCATCACACAGGTCAATAACTAAAAACAACAGAATTAATATTCTAGGATTGTATTCCCAAGAAAAAGTCCTTTAATCTTACAATAAGATCTTTTCAGATAGTTTTTCGCAGAATTTTTTTCCGGATTTTTATTCTTTTTCTCACTAGTATCAATTAATTTGATACCTAAAAGTAGAGGAGTGGCTCAAAGTGTATCCCTATGTCAAATTTCAAAAAGGTCAGACTTCTGGATTCCGAGATAAAAACCGTACCTTTATGGCCTGCAGTGTATTTCTAGAAACATTGACTTTGACCACAGAAATGTTTTCAAACCTCTGTTGCACATCTATATAATCAAAGCCTATCACCATGTCAAATTTCCAAAGGATTAGACTTTTGGATTCTTGGATAAGAACCGAACCTCACACGGCCTATTTTCAGAAATAGTGACCTTGACCTTGTCCTTAGAAAATGTTCATATTCCTATTTGCACATCTACATATCACAATGTATCGCCATCAAATCAAATTTCAGAAAGATTAGTCTTAAAGTTTCCGAGATAATCTCCAGAAAAGAAAGTGTGGATGGACGGACAGACACAATGATTATTATAGGTCACCCTCAGCTCTGATGTGGGGCCATAATTACAAAATGAGCATGTCTGTACACGGATATATTACCAGGGCAATACAGAGCCCTTTCTTCATGAGATCTGTTACAAATGTATATTATACCACTGAACCAGTGTCATTGAGGATTGTTTCGACAATGATGATAAGTTGGTAGTTAACTTTTAACAAATATCGTCTTGTTTCATTTGCTTTGCTGTAAAGCACCATTATTTAGGGTTCCTGATTGGGAAAATCTTTTATATAGGTTAAAAGTGATTTCCGTGACATTGCACAACAACATGATCATTACAGTGTCCGGGGGAACAGATTTAGTTTAGTTTTTCAGGCACCAAGGTTAAAAAATATGTACCTATTACATCTCTTGTTTTTAACTGTATGAACTCATTGAGTTACCTGTACAAACTCAATAAGTTACCTGTACAAACTCAATATGTTACCTGTACAAACTCAATATGTTACCTGTAAAACTCATTGAGTTACCTGTAAAACTTGTTAAGTTACCTGTACAAACTCATTGAGGTACCTGTACAAACTCAATAAGTTACATGTAAAACTCATTAAGTTACCTGTAAAACTCATAAAGTTACCTGTCAGGAAGTAAGACAAGAGTTTATCCTTGTTTATCCCAGGTACCCGACAGGTGTTAAATGCCTTCCTGAACTGCGACATACAGAGTTGGTTCCCTTTGTTGTCCTTCTCCGCTCTCAGCTTCTCTCTTACAATTAAAAGTTCAGACTGTAAGTCACACTGATTCACATGTAAGTAGGACACGTGAAGAGCACTAAGTCAATACTAACTAACACAGTGTTCTTATTATAACCTAATGTCAATACTCAGGGTGGGTTACCACTATCTTAACAAATATTTTCTGAAGATTCGACATTGAATAACATATGATATAGGTTAAATCTTGTTATACTGCCACCATTTGTCCAGTGAAACTTTGGAATTATAAAGGAATTTGGCGATTTTTTTAAGGCAACATATAAAAAATTAGTTTTTAAAAAAGGAAATGGTCATTTAATTATGTGTTGAAGGTAAACGACAGGGCAAAATAAAAATAGAGCATGTTATATCAACGTTTCAATGTACAGATAAAGGAGGGGCACTATATCAAGGTTGCATTGTATGTTCACTGAAACATGACATTCTAGAGAAACTGCTATTAATTCCATATAGACTCTCAATGAAATATTCAAATGAGTATTGTATGACCTACTGTAAAAGCATTTTTTATCAAGTTCTACTCTTTGCTATTTTTGGGTTTACAAATGTTCTGCAAACTATACAACCAACGAAATAAGCCATAAGACCAACCTGAAATCAGTGAAAAAGATCCTGCAATGTTGACCATTTTAGCAAAATCGTGAAATAAGGGACCATTGGGAAAAACTGTTTGCAGTACATGTACATCACATCATCTCAAGCTACAGTGACCTACTTTCTAATGATTTCCCAGAACTTCAGCGTGTAGTGAAGGATCATGCCAGCCCGTTCTACCTGTGTGCCAGGCTTGGCAGGGTAACAGTGGTACGAATAGGGAAACAGTCCAGCAAGGTTAATGAGAGGGGCCATGGGATAACGCCCCTCAAAATACGCCACATCCTCCCACCATTTCTCCAGCTGATGAAAACAGAAAACAGAATCAGAACATAACATAGACAAAACCTCTTATTCTCTTTACTAGCCAAGAGTTACAACCCGGTACAATCCGGTCTACCTACTCCAGCATCCTCGCTAGCCAAGGGTTATGATCCGGTACAATCGCGTCTACCTACTCTTCAAGGGTTATGATCCGGTACAATCGCGTCTACCTACTCTTCAAGGGTTATGATCCGGTACAATCGCGTCTACCTACTCTTCAAGGGTTATGATCCGGTACAATCGCGTCTACCTACTCTTCAAGGGTTATGATCCGGTACAATCGCGTCTACCTACTCTTCAAGGGTTATGATCCGGTACAATCGCGTCTACCTACTCTTCAAGGGTTATGATCCGGTACAATCGCGTCTACCTACTCTTCAAGGGTTATGATCCGGTACAATCGCGTCTACCTACTCTTCAAGGGTTATGATCCGGTACAATCGCGTCTACCTACTCTTCAAGGGTTATGATCCGGTACAATCGACTAGAGTAGGTAGACCTGATTGTACTGACGGGTAACCTTTGGCTAGCAAAGATGATTTTGGAGGGAAAACCCCTGTATTTCGACAGAGCTGTTCAAGAACATTTTGAGAATTCTTTGCATCATGTGACCTATACAGTGCAGAATTAAATGCTTGGCTATTTGTGGATTCATTAACACACCACATTGGTTTTTTTTAAATATCAAATTTCATCTCAGATACAAATGAATCTTTTGGATTTTTAAGGTAAAATGTCTAGTCAACTGGCCTTCTGTTTTGCATCAAGTCAGCACATCTTACATACTTTTTTTGCACAAAATCTCTCGTAACAGATGTTTTATATTTAGCTTTGAAAGAACTAATGATAAAATTCTTTTCAACTATACCCAGTTTCTGGAGTATTTAGCCTTGGTTATTAGTTTCTGTTGAAGTTCCTGGCCTACTCCGGATTCAAACTGGCGGACAATGGACTCGGTACGTGTGTACTCGTCAGGTGTCACATGGGGCTTCACTGTAGCATCAAAAACAAAACATTAGAGGCTTTTATTACATCAAAGACAATGTCTGTCTCTGGTTCTATAGAAATGGAAAAATGGTGAATCACATTACAAATAGGCTACTTCTGCTTTCTGATTACTTAACATGTGTTACAAGGGCCTAGCTTGGCTTTAGAATCAGTGTGAAATGAGTAAAATTGAAACGTGTGTAGTGTTTTTGCTACCTACATATTTGGGGCTGTATTTCGGCCCAATTACGAATTGTGCATGCTGAAAGGTGGGGTCAACATTTGGCCCCCACTTTGATTTCCTTTATTCTTTTGCCATATGTAGATACATAACAATGATCAATAACTGCATAAATGATTATTCATAAATGTTACTGATAACCGTAGTGGACCTCCTTGCAATAACACCAGGTTGAGTGACGGGGGTATCCTAACAAAATGACCGATAAATATCACAGGCAAATGTTAATTTGGAAATGAATTATGATAGTGTACAGTACATAAAATTACTGTTATTTTGATACTGAATATGTCATATTCTGCTTAAATCTTAAATAGAAAGAACAATTCTTTATTGTAATATTCGGCATCAAAATAACAGTTGAAATACGTTGCACACGATGTAATATAATTTTATAGTAATTGTGTCATTAAAATGCTCTAGGAGGAATTGTATTACTGCACCTTTAACACCCACACAGGTGTAAGTCAAGGAGGTCCCATTTATCATCAAATGAATTCTGAAACTAACTATTCCTGATTTAAGCTTCCTATACCCATACCTTTTTGGATTTATCTTGTTTTGAAATTCCAAGTGGGGGCCGACGCTAATGTTAAATCTCCATAGGTGTTGACCCTACCTTTCCCATTTTGTTGGTATTTTTTATGTGAGAGCAAGAAAAATCTGGAACTGCTTTTGGTTCTATGTATTATACATGCCAGACTTTCCCAATCTATTGGGACACTTGCGCCACTTTTGGCCAGGTGGCAGTTTTGTCAATTTGGCCAGGAAAAACACAGGTGTGCACATGTGTGATACATGTTACTGGTATTCCACAAAAAGTTCTTTAGACTTGATAATTGATTTCAATGACTTCTTGCCATCCTTGTAATTTTCTGGTTATAGACAAAGTCAGAATATAATAGATGTCTTCAATATGAAGAATGAATAATTACCTGAATACCATTATTTATACTGTTAAAAAACATTTCTTATATATTCTTATTCTTTCCCTTCATGAATGTATATAATTTTTCTTCTTTTTACTCACTTAATTCTAAAATGTATTACTCATTCATCCCTGAAATTTCATAATGAACTAGTCCAGCCTTTGAATTGGATGAGTGCAAATGTCTTCGGGGTGAATGAGAAATAAAAAAAAAATCAGTCTTCAGCATTTCAATCTTTGTGGTGTTCAGTCATCATAGATAATGGCGAACTCATCATCAATTTATACCTGAATCAAGGTATTTCTTGAGTGTGTGTTTGAGGTCTGGGACAGGAAGTGAAGGGAGGCTATCCTGGTATTGGAATGTCTTCTCCTCATCAGACCTGAACATCACATCGGGATCAGGAATATTGGCTGCCATCTTCTCTGGACTGAAAACAAATAAGATCAGACCTGCTCATGTAAAATTATGCAATGAGTAAATCAAAGTTGTTTTATTCACCATTGAAGTTTTACTAAATAGCATTCTCCTTCTTTAAAGGATCATGCAATGCACCACTGCCAAAAAATGAAACAAAAATTATTTTTCCGAAATGACAATTAACAGCTTTGATAAATATTTTTTGAAAAGAAAAGTAAACCTCGCGGGACTTTTAGAATCCAAATGGAAGATAAGTGATATGTTACCGTACAAAGGAAAAACGGCAGTGCATTGGAACAGTGATCCTTAAGAGAAGAATATGGTTAAAATGCCAGGTCACTTTCTTAAAAATTTTATATTCAAAACTTTTACATAAAAAAATGTATAAATTTAATACCAAAATGAAAACCAAAATGAAAACTTTGCATCGATTATTTCATAATTGATCAAATTTCTCTACATGCTTATTGACATTGTGTTTTCTACATAAAAACAAATCTTGTAAACAACATATTGTGCATATTTAATCAATATGACATTACCAGGAGAGTCTATAAATGTGGCTGATTTTGTGAGAGAAAAAAATTAGAAGAAGCACAATTCCTTGAGATATGTAACACTACTAAAATGTGCTAACGTTTCCTATATCTATAAATGTCTCTATATACTGTGTAACAGGAAAGAGATTATTGTGCTTCTACCAGGGATTGAACCCACAACCCCAGACTTTCTAGTCGCACGCTCTACCACTGAGGTAAATGGAAATTCCCTCTAGCTCGAAGCTAGAAGGTGACCATAATCCTATGTACAATTAAAATCTGCCACACTAACTACCCCTTTTTAAATGTATTCGCCTTCAAACACCACAGCCCAGGTTCTCACTCCCCGTCACCACAAGGAGGACCACAGACACCATTTGTAACAGGAAAGAGAATATTGTATTTCCATTGGGGATTGAACCCGCAATCCCAGACTTCTTCATCGGACGCTCTACCACTGGGCTAAAGGGAAATTCCCTCTAGCTCAAAGCTAGAAGGTGACCGCAATCCTATGTTCAATTAAAATCTGCCACAACTGTGTACCGGAAAATTTTCGCCCGGTCAAACTCGCTCTTTGCCAGTGAAATCAAAATTTGCCCTGAGTTAATTTCGCCTTTCACATAGACCTAGTAACTACTATTTCCATTATGTTGTTGACTCATGTTTGCTGTCACGATAAATTACAGAGGGCGGAAATTAAACAGCAGCGAAAATTAAACAGCATCGGAAATTAAACAGCAGCGGAAATGTCTTGGTATACTGTATATTACTCTGGTGAACTAAATGTATCTGTTGAATATTTAAATGAAGTTCAAGATTTATAAACTATCATATCAGGAACAAATCATCGGGTGTAGAGCCAACGCCGTACTTCTGATCTAGGTTCTGTAGGTTCCGTTATCCCTTGCTTGGATACCCAGGGGTATGCAGGGCGATTGAGGAACGAGAAGCTCAAGGCAATATTCAATTGCAACAAGCTCAGGATAGATTGGTTTCTTTATTGTATGTCTACCGGTTTCGCCCGTACATGTGGGCTTCTTCAAGAAACCAATCTATCCTGAGCTTGTTGCGATCGAATATTGCATCATATCAGGAAGATGCAACCTATTGTAACATGCATAGTGGGTTTTTTTAAATTATTTTATTGCATCGTTTGACATCAAATTACTTAGACGGTCATCCGTCCAACTACTGACCACACTCGACATTGCTGAACTTTTGAGCATAAACTAGTGAGGGTAAAATACTGCCGTACTGGAGGGTAAAATACTGCCGTACTGGAGGGTAAAATACTGCCGTACTGACAAGCTAGCTTTTCCAGTGATTCGTTATAACCTGCGGACCCAAGGTTATAATGCAACACTGGGAAAGCTAACTTGTCAGTAAGGCAGTATTTTACCCTCATATTCCTTAGCTGTTACAAATGATTAGAAATGCAAGTTCTGAACCGAAATTATCATATATTATAGACAGGAACTCAGAAAAGACAGGAGTCAGTTTAGCAAGGTTATATTGTTTTACTGACACTGTATATATCTTAATCTAATCAGCAGTGTGTCATATATACTGACCACTATCATTTAACTTACAATCTAACTTACAGTATCAATACATATGTTATCATAATGCAGTTAAGTAAGTTGCCCGTCAGCTACTGATAAAGGGTTATCTATTTGTAGATTCATTAAATCATACATTTACCAAACATCGTAGGTAGGAGTGTTCTCAACATTAACCAGCTTCACAAGTTAAGTAGGTGGAATACTTTTATTACATGCCGACCGGTCTCAGCAGTAACGGCTCGAGAGAAACACATGTGCGCTTAACTTGTGAAGCGGATTAATGTTGAGAACACTCCTACCTACGATGTTTGATCTTTCCTATTGAGTGACTCCCTGCATATCCATTGGTATCCATTCTACAGCGATCATACTACCTTAGGATCCTAACTATATTGGACCGGCGTTGGCTCTTACACACACACACACACACACACACACACCCTCCCCTTCATACAGTTACCTATATTCTTTAGTTTTAGGTTGAAGGAATTTATTGTCAATCTTCAATTTTGAAAAGCTTTTCAGGTTTCGTTGGCCCTTTAATCAGCTTTCATGCATAAATACTGTGCCCACTTACAGGAGGGAATTCATTCATCATCCTGCACTGCTTTCTTCATTCATTCCTACTTTTTACATTAATTCATTTACTCATTCAATCGTTTATTCATTGATTCATTCATTCGTTCATTCAGTCAGTAATCTATTCAGTAAGTCACTCATTTAAGCTTATAAAACTGTACACCTGTATTTAGACCAGTTTTGAGTAAAAATTAAAGTTTAGTTCTATCAGTGATATAGAGAAAACTATAGATGATAATGCCTGTATAACTATTTGATCAATAATGATAACGTTGATGTTTATATAGTAATTTGTATTAAATTTTACAGCCACTGTTATTAAAGTCTTTTCCAAGTAAAACAATTTCAAGTAAGACCCTATCTGTGTCATTTCACTACCTCTGTGTCTAAATCTTTTATCAACAATGACCTTACCCCCATGTAACTTTGTGTACAGTGAACTCCAGTCTAGATTGACGAAGTCTAGTGGTCAAGGACTCAGTGATGTCAACAAGTCCTGGTATCTGGTGACTTGTTACTAGGTGATAGATGTTACCATCTACCTTTAGCTGTTGGCTATGTAACAGGAAAACTATAATGTAAATATAAACTGATTCATTTTACAACAATATTTTACAACTTTACTACTGAAGTAATCACTCTTGTTGGCGCACATCTGGTCTTACTGTTGGAGGAAACGGGGGTACACAGAGAAAACCCACATGGTCGGGCAGGTGACCCAATACTTTTTCACCTTAGTAACGATCGGGGAATCAAACAACTGGCCGCCTTGGTGAAAGGCAAGTGCGCTATCCACTGCGCCACCAGACCATCCTATGGTGGAAAATTTCTAGACAGTAACAGTACTTTCACTGGGGATAATGAACCAGTGACCTGTGAATTCTTTGAGTTCCCCTTAACAAAAAGATTCCATTTAATAACCATTCATTCAAAACCATTCAACTTCCATTAAAATGCCAGTTAATACACTTCAACTCCAGTTGCTGTTTAGACCAAAATGATATTTCAATGGCATTATAACAGTTTTTCAATGCTTACTGAACATTTATTTTTGCAAAGGGGCCACGAATACTCTACTGATTGGGACTAAGAATCAAAATTCCCTCTAGTGTAAAGCTTAAAATCTGCCACACACTATCCCCCGCCCCCCCCC